TCAAGATACATAAACAATTCTTAAGCTACATATCGCACACCGTCTTCAAAAGGGGCACAACTCGCAATTACACGTTTGTCAGAAAATGCGAAAAACTATTTCTTAGCACACGATAATCATACCTTTACCCTAGTTTTTTTCTAACAAATTATAACAAAAACTTTCCTCCAGCTTTTGCTGAAAGCTAAGTAAAAGCTCTGTGTACATTTTTAGCTCATAATTTCAAAAAGGCCAAATTTTGAGTTGTTCCTCTTTTGAAGACGGTGTGCGGCATGTACATTTCTCTATCAGGGAGTAAAATTTTTTGAGAAAATCAGATTACTTCCAAATCCATTTCCCAGTTTATTGTGTGGCTTCTGATATAAAACGAAAAAATCCCTACACAGAAACGTAAACTTTATTCTCTTAATTTGAACAAATACCTGTAATTCTTATCACCACCAACACTTAAACCGTCCGCCTTGCCCATTCTAGCCAACCAAATACAAGCCGTCAGCTAGAAACATACCCACATACATACGTACGTTGAAAGTATAAAGTTCGTCCGCACCCGCACCCTCACATAGTCAGGAAGAAACGATAATGCATAGCGCAAATACAAACATTATCGACGACAACGCTTAATTCCCATACAATTGCAATCCAATCAATGTCGCTTCAGTGCGCGAAACGGGAGCGCGAAGGAAGAGAGAGTGAGAATACTGAAGCAGTACAGAGCCGGAGGAGGCAAAGAATTAAGTCAAAATGAAAGAAACGGAAGCAACCATGAACAAAAGACACAAGATCACGCGGGACGGAAAGAACGAAAAAAGTTATTTTCTAGCTGCCGAAATCTCGACGCCATCTTTGCAGTAAGAAGTAAACAACGAAGAGAACGGAGAAAACCGCGAAATTGTTGAACGCATGAAAAATCATTTTTATTATGCAAATTCTTCTAATAATCATGCCGTTGTGTTAAATTATTCTTTATCACACGTTGTCACAAGCGAAAATGAAGAAAATTGCAGTAAAAAGCCACCACCAAATTGTAAACAACGAAGAAATGTAAATAAACGGCTAATGTCAAAATCGTTCAACTTTTTTCCTTAATGCGATTCTAACGGGCTAGTCTCCTGCCCGCGTGATCTTGTCTTTTTGGTTCATGGGAAGCAACGCAAGCACAGCAATCGAAAACAGTTCAAGATGGCGGGGAAAAGCTCAACGAAGTAAAGATAGAGAGGGGCGCGCGAATTTGTAGTAGCGAAATTGTATCCAACAGTAATTCCGCAACGACATTGTACGGTATTGGCATGAGCGAGCGACGAAAAGTGTGACAACTGTTAAACGGGGAGGGAACTGAGGATATTGCAGTTGGCGTGTGTGTGAGTGCGAGTGTCAGGTTCTTCGAAGCGTAATGTTGGCGTAATGTATTTGCTATAAAATCTTAGACGACAGTATCAAGTAAAAAATCAACATTGTACATTTACTTACATACTTACATATAGTACTTGTACATACACTACAGTGTGTGACTACTAGTGACTACACGGTATACGGATCAGAAAATTTAGGAAAAATCTAGGCTTGTTCTTATACTACATATCCACATTCATGCATACCTAGATATGCACTTACCTGTAGTATATATTATAGCAATCTAAGTCAGTCGAAAGCAAATAAAGCAAAATAGCACCGACGAAGATTGTAATTGCGAAATTGAATTGAACAGCGCTAAAGATGTAGCACATAAGCCAATGTTGGCGTAAATGAGACACGAGTTCGCAACAAGCTTGAGCTTGAGAGTTTCTCACTCCGCTCCCAACTGAACATTGAAGATGGCATAGCTCGACTTTGTATTGGTAATGGCGTACATACTTAACTTCAGTTGAGAGGACTTTAAAGTGAGTGAGTGTATGTTGTAGAGCAATTTTACATCCGGTTGTATAAAAATCAATCGCCTTTCTTATGCTGTAACAGAATTACTGCCTTTTGTTGCAATTTGTAGTGTATATATTGAGCGCAATGCCTTTGAAATAAGCAAAATAAATTGCTTCCCTGTTAGAGTGGAGGAGTGAAATCTGGCGAAAATACAATTATTGTGCACTAATTGGTTGTTTTTAAATATATTTATATTTTTACTATTTATTTTTTCTGATTCCTGGTGATTTGGGACAAAATTTTTGTAACCGTGCGCTTTTCATTCACATAACGACCTTAAGGGGACGAGTGTCTTACATTCGGCAGTTAACTACTGAATTTCAGTATTAAAGTGAGGGTTCACTGATGAATTTGATTTAATCCTGCATTGTATGAATGCCCTTTAATACTATTGTATGCTTCTAAAGCGAGTCAAATCATTGTAAAGCTCGTACAGCTCATTGCTAAATCGTCTGCGATATTTGCCATCGCCAACGTGCAAAGGCCCGTAAATCTTTCGAAGAATCCTTCTCTCGAAAACTCTAAGAGCTGCCTCATCGGATGTTGTTATTGTTCATGCTTCGGTGCCAGCACAGTCTACCCAGTCCAAAGTAGCACTTCTTGGCAAGAGTGATTCTCCGTTGTATTTCAAGGCTGATATTACTATTGATGCTAATGCTAGTTTCCTCGTTTTCATTAGAGCCTGTTTTTACGTGGCTGGTCCCAAACCCAGCGCACAACCCTTTTCTGGGACGGGGGTGATTAACAGATGCTGCTGATTTCGGTGAGTCCTTAAACGGAATAAGTCGGAGTGGCCTCACCGAAGCTATTTCTCTTTCTGCCGTGACCCAAGACTCCACTTGGATTGGTTACCGCGTCTCGCACACGGGTTGCTCATGATGCCCAGAGATCCTTCTAACGGTGATGAGACACACGTCTTCTTATTTATCTTCGTATTCGACTTCGAATTCGTCGTCGTAGTAGCATTCGAACTCATTTTCATGATTGTTTTCGTCTCTGCATTCGTTTTCGTTTGTGGGTTCGTCTTCGTATTTTTCCTCGTCTTGGTGTTCAAGTTCCCCTTCGTGTTCATGTTCGTCTTCATCTTAACGTAAGTTTTTGAATTCGAATTCAATTTTCAAGACTTCATCAGGGATCGAACCTGCATCATCGATGTGCAAAGACAGAAGCGCTAACCACTGAGCTATGCACACCCCGTAAACTCTTGTTGCTAATTCGTTTCCATATTCAACCTAGACTGATTTTACACAGATCAAGTATTGAATTAAATTCTGCTCGCATGTGGAAGAGAGGGGGTGAAAAGAAAAGGGGCGAGTTCACATGCGTCTGTACCGTCAAGTCGTTTCAATTTTCTTGCTTTGCTTTTGATATTTTCTCGGTTTCCCATTTAAAGAACAAATAACTTGAATTCAACTGAATTGAAGCGTGTAAAAGTAAATAGAAAACACAAAAGAGAATGAGCAAGAATTGCTTTCAAGTACTTGAATCATGTAAATCGGGTGCTACTACTATCAAGTGCAGCTGATTTGCCGCTACTTAATCTTCCCTGCTGATGTCTAGAAAAATAAGTCTGATGAGGAGATGTGGTGATCTACGTAATAGCAGCTACAACTTCTACCGCTTAGACTTTGTTGCTATTTCCATTTTTCCTCATAAACATAATCGTGGCACAAAGCTCCATAACAATATTAAAGTAAAATTCTAATTAGCCACAAAAATATTAAAAATAAAAATAAATATTAGCTAGTGTCGGGTGTGACAGTATATTGTGACGGGTGGGACAGGTTGCTATTGACGACACATGGTTCGTGATTGAAATGAACACTACAGATTTGATATGAATATTTATTTAATTTTTAATAGCAGGACCTTATTTAAGCAATGGGAAGCTTAAGTAGGTTAGGTTAAAAAAACACATCTGTGACGATCGGAACCTCCACTAATCATTTATTTAAACGCTGACAACTTTTCACCATAAATGTAACTTTGTAATAACTCACCACTGCTTTAAAGTTGATGAATTTTAATTTCTTTTTAGATAATTATTTTTTGCATTGTCACCTTAAATAGACGAGATATGCCTTAGCAACTTGATAAAAAATACTATATCAGGTAAAGTGGCACTCCGGATGCGTTTATAACTACAAAACTATAAAATAGAGAACTGTAAAAAATAATCTTATGTGATGATACGCGAGTTCGGGATGATTAAACTATCGAGAGAATTGCAATCGAGTCCATAATAGACTCGCTTCCCGACTGTAAAATCGAGATGTCGACTGACTTATCACCGACGAGATCGTGTGAACTTAATCGTTAGCTTTCGGAGCCTTGTGCAGGTGTGTATTAAGTATTTTTTTTTTAATTGTATATGTAATACTGCACTGTCCTCGTAAGGACAAAATCTGACATCGCCGCCATCCAAGGAATGCGTTGGACGGGGCAAGGCAAGCAATGTCTGGGGCCTTGCGACGTCTACTACAGCTGCCATGTAAAGCAGCGAAAATTCGGAGTTGGATTTGTGGTGGGAGAGAGACTCCGTCGCCGAGTACTGTCGTTCACCCCGGTGGACGAGCGTCTAGCCACCATCCGCATCAAAGCGAGATTCTTCAACATCTCGCTCATCTGCGCCCATGCCCCGACGGAAGAGAAGGATGAGGCATCTAAGGATCTCTTCTATGAGCGCTTGGAGCGCACGTACGAGCGCTGCCCCCGTCATGATATCAAAATCGTACTTGGCGACTTCAATGCCTGGGTGGGCAAGAAAGGGATCTTTGGAACCCCGTCGGAAAATTCAGCCTCCACGACGAAACGTCCGTAGTGTGCAGTACTAGGTTCAAGAATAAAAAGATCCATCAAGCTACGTGGCTGTCTCCGGATCGAAAAACGAGAAACCAAGTCGATCATGTTGTGATAGACGGAAGGCACGCTTCCAGTATTTTAGACGTACGCACACTCCGAGGCCCAAACATCGACTCGGACCACTATCTTGTTGCAGCCAAGATACGCACCCGCCTCTGTGCAGCAAAAAATGTGCGCCCAAATATGCAAGGAAAGCTTAATGTCGAAAAGCTGCAATCACAACAGACAGCCAGCGCTTTCGTTACTCGACTCTCACACCTGCTCTCAGAGAGCACTCTTCAGCAAACCGACATATGCGAGCAGTGGAACCACATTTCCCGCTCATTAAGTGCCGAAGAAGTAGTCGGATTTCAGCGAGCCCGAAAGAACAACTGGTACGATGAGGAGTGTCAGGAAGCTGCAGACAAAAAAGATGCCGCCTACAGGGCGCAACGCGCGCTATGTGGGACCGCTATAGGGATCTGAAGAGGGAAGCGAGACGTATTTGCCGCAATAAGAAGAGAGAGGCCGAAATGCGAGAGTGCGAAGAGCTTGAAATGCTGACAGGAAGAATGCCCGAAAATTTTACCAGAGAGTTAGGCGACTTACGGAAGGGTTAAAGACCGGGGCGTACTCCTGTAAGAACAATAATGGCGACCTAGTAACTGATGTCCAGAGCGTACTTAAATTATGGAGGGAACACTTTTCCGCCCTACTAAATGGTAGCAGCACGGAAAGTTGCGGAGAAGAAGAACCCGATCCCGCAGTCGATGATGACGGAGTCGGCGTTCCACCGCCTGATTATGACGAGGTACGTATAGCAATAACGCGGCTGAAAAACAACAAAGCCGCTGGAGCTGACAGCCTGCCAGCTGAGCTATTCAAGTACGGCGGCGAGGAGTTGATAAGGTGCATGCATCAACTCTTGTGCAGAATATGGTCAGATGAACGCATGCACGACGACTGGAATTTAAATGTGCTCTGCCCAATCCACAAGAAAGGTGACCCCGCCATTCGCGCCAACTACCGCGGGGTCAGCCTTCTAAGCATAGGTTACAAGGTCTTATCGAGCGTATTGTGTGAAAGACTGAAGCCCACCGTCAATGAGCTGATTGGGCCTTATCAGTGTGGCTTCAGGCCTGGCAAATCCACCATAGACCAGGTATTCACAATACGTCAAATCTTGGAAAAGATCCGCGAGAAAAGGATCGACACTCACCACCTATTTGTCGACTTTAAAGCCGCTTTTGACAGCACTAAAAGGAGTTGCCTATAAGCCGCTATGTCTGAATTTGGCATCCCCTCAAAACTCGTACGGCTGTGTAAAATGACGTTGAGCAATACAACCAGCTCCGTCAGAACTGGGAAGGCCTCTCCGAGCCGTTCGCCACAAAACGGGGTTTCAGACAGGGCGACTCCCTTTCATGTGACTTCTTTAATCTGATGTTGGAGAAGATAATAAGAGCTGCAGAACTGAACCGCTCAGGAACAATTTACTACAAGAGCGTGCAATTGCTGGCTTATGCCGATGACATCGACATCATCGGCAACAAAAACCGCGAAGTCTGTTCTGCCTTTTCCAAGTTGGATAGGGAAGCAAAGCGAATGGGTCTGGTGGTAAACGAGGACAAGACGAAGTATCTCCTGTCATCAAACAAACAGTCAGCACATTCGCGCCTTGGCACCCACGTCACTGTTGACAGTTACAATTTCGAGAAAGTAGAGAATTTCGTTGACTTGGATACCAGCATTAACACCGATAATAATGTCAGCATAGAAATCCATCGCAGAATCACTCTTGCCAACAAGTGCTACTTTGGACTGAGTAGGCAATCCAGGAGTAAAGTCCTCTCTCGACGTACGAAAACCACGCTCTATAAGTCACTCATCATGCCCGTGCTGGTATATGGCGCAGAAGCATGGACAATGACAACATCCGATGAGGCGGCTCTTGGAGTGTTTGAGAGAAAGATTTTGCGGAAGATCTACGGGCCTTTACGCGTTGGCGACGGTGAGTACCGCAGACAATGGAACGATGAGCTGTATGAGCTTTACAACGACATGGACATAGTGCAGCGAATTAAAATACAGCGGCTCCGCTGGCTTGGTCATATCGTTCGAATGGACACCAAATCTCCAGATCTGAAAGTATTCAACTCGGAACCCGCTGGTGGTAGCAGAGGAAGAGGGAGGCGATGGAAGGATCAGGTGGAGAAGGATTTGGCGTTTCCAATTGGCGTCAGTTGGCACAGAGGAGAAACGACTGGCGTGCTTTGCTGAGCTCGGCCAAAATCGCTTAGGCGGTTACAGCGCCAAAAAAGAAGAAGAATACTGCAGGCGTTATTTTAAATATACATACGTATTTACATATCGCATGTTAAAAATATTGTTCGGAAATTCAAATTTATACTGATCGAGAGATTGTTGGGTATAGGGAATAAGGAAAATTTATCGAACATAACACTTTTGTGTTTAATTACTATTTGTAAAATTAAAAAACGTGGTTTTTTGTCTTCTTTATAAAATAAAAACTAAAAAAGAATCCCTAGAAGAATGTACTCCCTATATTTACTATCATTGATCTTCTTTATTTGTTTTTTCGTTGTTATTATACATAAGTAGTTATTATACATAAGTATTTACCAATTGATTGCATGCATGTACACATAAAGCTGCCATGTTCCATAAGCTAGTCCAAATGAGCTAATCAAAATGACGCCGACACTAAGCATGGGAATGGTAGCGCTGCGCTTCATCATGGCGCGGCACAATAGCGCCAAATAATACCGGCGCCAATATGAATCCAAGTAGCGTCAAATTGACGCTGGTGCCAATCAACTCATTCTACGGGGAATATTTTTGAGTGAGTTGGAATGGTTAGCGGCATCGTAATGAATATTTTTGCAACCAACTAAACAAAATTAAAATTCGTGGTGTTGCAAGAGCTATAAAAACATACATAACTACATAGCAGGGTTGTTGCGAATATTCGCATTCGCATTCGCAACCGCGGAACGTTCGCATTAATTTTAACATTCGCATTCGCTTTCGCATTCGCAATAATCAATGCGGAGCTTTTGCGAATTCCAATATTGTGCAAGTGCACCGATAAAACGTATATATGACAAAAAAAAT